ATAGCATCCAATTTGTTTTGGAGATGTATTATCTTCTCAGGAGAGTGATTATAATTTTGAAAGTCTTCTGCTTCCCATTTTCTGTGACTTCTTTTTTGTTGTTTGGTTCTTTTGGTCTCCAATTTTGACGCTAAAGTCTTTCCTTAACTTAAATTCATATGTTGAAACCTAATCCTCAATATGATGGTATTAAGAGATAAGGCCTTTGGGATGTGACTAGGTCATGAGGGTGGAACCCACAGGCATATGATTAGTGCCCTTAAAAGAGAGGGAGTCTGTTTGCCCTTTCCACCATGTAAGACCTGGCAGAAAGTTGATAGTCTGCAACCTGGAAAAGAGTCCTCACCAGAACCCAACCATGCTGACACCCCGATCTTAGACCCAACCTAAGAGAGAAATAAATTTCTGTTATTTTTACATAGCTAGTCTATGTTATTTTGTTATAGCAGCCCCAAAAGACTAAGAAAATGGGTGAGTCTTGTCAAACAGCTAACTTTACTTTTGCATGACAGGACAGAGGCCTAGCCGAATTTCGCTAGCATATCCCAATTGTCAGTATCATTAGATCTTTTCTATTAATGTGATCAATTTCAATATTCTGCCTGAAAGGGATTTAAGAGTAGCCGCCAAAATACCAAAAGCCAAATAGCAAAAGAAAATAGGGGCTCTTACTGCTCAGCTGGAGATTTTCATATAACCTTCCTGTTTTCAGTAAAATCACCTATCTTTCAGTTGTTTTCTTTCTTTTCTTTTTTGAGACAAGAGGTTTTTGCTCTGCCATTCTGGGTAGAATACAGTGGCATCAACATAGCTCACTGCAATCTCAAACTCCTGGGCTCAAGCAAGCCTCCTGCCTCAGCCTCCTTAGTAGCTGAGACTATAGGTGTGCACTACCACACCCAGATAGTGTCTTTTCTGGTAGAGACAGAGTCTTGCTCTTGCTTAGTTAGGATGGTTTCAAACTCTTGGGCTCAAGCAATCCTCCCGCCTCGGCCTCCCAGAGTGCTAGGATTATAGGCATGAGCCATTGCACCCTGGCCTGGTTATTTTATTTCTTAAAAAATCAGAAATCAGGCCAGGTACGGTGGCTCTCACCTGTAATCCTAGCACTCTGGGAGTAGGCAATTACTATAACAAATTAAAAGCCTATAAGTATTAGATACTCAAACACACCATTAATTTTCAAAATAAAGCCATGAACAGGAAACTCAGCACTTCTTATAACTATATCTCTTAGAGCTTGGCTCAAATGTTTGAAGACTAAAAGTCAATATCAAAGTTATCAGGCTGTCCAGACTTAAAGTTATAGTAATCAGATATAAAACATCCCAATCCATTTCACAGATTTTCTTATCTTAAAAAAAAACAAAAACAAAAAAACCCATAATCTATTAAATACTTTCAAGTCTTTCAGACCACTCATTTAATAGGTAATAATGACAATCTATTTTATTCACTTACTAAATCTTTTTTAAACTGAGGTCCTCTATGTACAAAAAAAGGTTTTCAGACAGTTGTTTAATATCTAACAATAAAGGCAGAAACAGTAGAAAATTCAGCTGAACAAAGACTTTCACCATGAAAGTCTCTGCTCTGCCACCAACTAGCTGTTGGAATCTGGCCAAGACTTAAATCTTTTGGCCTCAACTTCTTTACCTGAAAACTGTGAGGATTGAATAGATGATCTCAATGTCCTTCCTAACCCTAAGAGTACATGGTAATGAAAAAAAATAATCAAAATTTAGGCTTTTCTTCCCCCTCACTGAATGATCCCTGTTAGTCCAAATTAAGGACAGAAAACAATTCAGACTACAGTTATCCCTTGGTTCCACAAGGATTGGTTCCAGGACACCAACACCCTCCCCCCTTCTCAAGTCCTACACACATCCTCCCATATACACATATACTTTAATCATCTCTAATTATTTATAATATTCTATATTAATACAAGCAAATGCAATGTAAATAGTGTTATACTATTGCAATTTTTTATTGTCATTGTTTTGTTTCAATACAGTATTTTTGATCCATGGCTGGTTGAATCCAAGAATGTGGAACCCATGGATATGGAGGGCCAATTGCATTTTTGACAGAATTAAACAGCTTTGTTTAATAGGTCTACCTATACCCCACCAATCCAGCACACTGTTTAAAGGAACTGTAAAAAACTAAATACAGAAAGAGATGGTTTTTCCAATGCAAATTAGCAAAAAACAAACACAAGCTTACCACAATAACAAAAGGTACTTTTCAGCTCAATATTTATAATTTATCTTAAATTTGAGGATTAAATGAAGGCAAAGAACATATTTGACAAAAGTGGCATATCAATGATGGAATAATTAAAAGGTATTTTTTTGAAGTAGAGATTTTTGTTTTGAACTTTGAAAAATTAAGTACTGCTGTCCCTTGGATAGAAATGTTTGCTCTACAAGTGAGAGCTCCTATTTCTACGTTTTAAAAAATGTGCATGGCTTAAAAGTAAAAAAAAAAAAAAAAAAAAAACAACACGTAAGAAGAACTGATGAATCAGACTTCACCAAAATATAAACTTTTGCTTTTTGAAAGACACTAACAGAATGTAAAAACAAGACTACAGATTCTGAGAAAACATCTGCAAGTCTTATTTGATGAACAGAATATATAAAGCCACTTAAATCTCAATGGTAACAAATAAAACGATAAAAAAATGGAGAAATTTTCAAATAGACATTGCATTAAAACTGATATGTGGATGGCAATAAGGACATGATCTTATATCAACAGTCTTTAGGGAAATTAGTCTTTAGGGAAATGAAATTAAAGGATCATGGACTATGAAAGGTCTGAGATTTTACCCTACCTGCATGCTAACACCTAGCCTGTTACTGTTTCATTGATCCAGAAAGAAGTCATAAGATGAATCACAGAAAGAATTCTATTCCTCAAGGGCACAGGAAGTAGCAAAAGCATAAGTCACTAAGTTCCTTCACTTTTCAAGTCGCACAATGTTGGCAAAGAGAGGGATCAGGTACATGCTGCATCTGCAGTTTATTTGAATCACAGCTGAAGACTCTGAGCTTACAGAATTGCAGCTTTTCCCTGGACAGTAAGGATGACAACCCAAAAGACTGTCTCTATCTTCCAAGGCTTTTTGTTATACATATATGCTTAAACAGATAGTCCAGAATAAAGAGCTATCAGTATCTCTGCTCACAAGATGTTCAGAAATATGACCGATCCATGAGAATTGCCTCTAAAAAACAAAACAGAACAAAAATGAAGTACTGTCACAACCTATGAGAATGACTAAAATCAAGGAACATGGTCTGGAGTGGAATTAACTTGGTTATGAAGAGTAGGAAGAAATTAGAAGAGCTGTGGAATTAAGAATGACATAGCCAGAAAGATGATGAAAGAAGAAAAGGATGATCAGGCAACTTTCAGGGCCTCTAACAGAGTTTAGCTAGGATATTTGGGGTCCATCAGCAAGTCAATATTTTTTTGTTATAATAAAGTACTGCTATGAAACACTTTGGTGAAAACACAAATATTTCTAAAGTTAACATTTTATAAGGCATGTGATAAGTAACAGAATCCCCTGCCCTACCTTCCTATCTTTCATTTCTATACACTAGAACAACCATTTTTATTTTTCTTTTAGAAGTTTCCTTTATATTTAGCCTAATATTTCTAAATAACCGGCTTAGACTACTATTTCTTGATGAAGATGTAGTTCCTTATAGTTTCTGTCCCATATTCCACACTTTCTCCTTCAAAAATAATATAGTTATACATTTATTTTGGTTATAATAATACTTCCATGGTTATACTGTAACTATGTAATATTAATCCATTTAAGTCACATCACACAATGATTCTACCTCTTTTCTTTTACATAATGGCTTTCTGAAATACTACCTGATGGGTTTTTTTAACTGCTTCATTTTTCCGAGAAAGTCATGACTTATTCTTTCCCTGAAACTTTCCAGAACTGTATATATTCTTTTCGAAATCAAACACATAAGGTATATATTAATTTTCATATTTTCCTAAGAGATTTTCCTTCAGTGTTCTGTCCTCTCATTCTATTCTGATTACTCTCCAGGCCACTGCACAACTGGTTTCCTAAACTTCATCTGCGACTGTAAAATCTCAAAGTACCACAAATGAACCTATCCTTTTTCATATTTGGAATAATGAACATCACTCTGATAATTCAAAAATGGACGATCAACTCTACTTTTGCTTCTATAGCTAACCCCCAATCTCCATCACCACTAAAACAGATAAATGTTTCTTAGGTTATTATTTTTATTAATCCTTGCTAAAGAACAAGAATATTGACAAATATTTACTATCCACAGATTACTTCCTCACCCAGGGTAAAAGTATCCTCATTGCTGCTTCGGTTAATTTATTACTCGTGTACTGTACATGGAGAGAGAGACTTCGGGAGATTCTCAAATTGTGGCAGGAGTGCAAAGGGTGTCGTTTTATTTTTTCTTTCTTTCTTTCTTTTTTTTTTTTAAAGATAGGGTCTTGTTCTGTCACCCAGGCTGGGGTACAGTGGCATGATCATAGCTCAATGCAACACAGAATGCCTGGGGTCAGGCATGCACCACCACACCTGGCTAATTTTTTAAACAATGCTTTTGTATAGATGATGGTCTTGCTATGTTGCCCAGGCTGCTCTTGAAATCCTGGCCTCAAGTGATCCTCCTGCATCAGCCTCCCAAAGTGCTGGGATTAGAGGTATGAGCTATCATATCCAGCATAGGGTGTCACTTTTTAAAAATTTCAAAACCAATGGTCTAGTCCTATAAAAACAGACTTTTTCTTGCCCATTTAGTGACTAGTACAGTAAATAATGATTCCTACAATATGTGTATAACTGAAAAAGAGTAGACCATATAAAACTTACAAAATGATCACTCCCAGGGTGATTTAAGACATATCAAAAATTCCTATTCCAAATATATGAGTATGTAGCTAATAAGAACATAAAATCTAGTTCCTACTTTGTGTTTATTCATGCGATGTTTGTCTTTTCCTTCTGGGATGCCTTCAATCATGTCATTTTCCTCTTCTTCATCACTGTCATCAGCATTTTCTAAGAAATTGAATGTCTCAAGAACATCACCAGGGGGCCTGTAGGAAGGGAAAAGATGAATCCAACGATTCTAATATTTCTTCCTGGTTCTTATTTTAAAACAGTACCTGAAGGTAGCTATAGAGATTCAAATGATAATCTACATATTATGTATTGCCTAAAAACTTTACTCAAGAATATCCTTTTCTTTTTTCTTTTTTTTTTTTTTGAGACAGAGTCTTACTCTGTTGCCCGGGCGAGAGTGCCGTGGCGTCAGCCTAGCTCACAGCAACCTCAAACTCATGGGCTCAAGCAATCTTCTGCCTCAGCCTCCTGAGTAGCTGGGACTACAGCATGTGCCACCATGCCTGGCTAATTTTTCTGTAATATTTTAGTTGTCTGGCTAATTTCTTCTATTTTAGCAGAGACGAGGTCTTGCTCTTGCTCAGGCTGGTTTCAAAACTCCTGACCTTGAGCGATCCGCCTGCTTGGTCTCCCAGAGTGCTAGGATTACAGTGAGAGCCACCGTACCTGGCCTGATTTCTGATTTTTAAGAAATAAAATAACCAGGCCAGGGTGCAATGGCTCATGCCTATATCCTAGCACTCTGGAGCCGAGGCGGGAGGATTGCTGAGCCCAAGAGTTTGAAACCATCCTAACTAAGCAAGAGCAAGACTCTGTCTCTACCAGAAAAGACACTATCTGGGCGTGGTAGTGCACACCGATAGTCTCAGCTACTAAGAGGCTGAGGCAGGAGGCTTGCGGAGCCAGGAGTTGAGATTGCAGTGAGCTATGTTGATGCCACTGTATTCTACCCAGAATGGCAGAGCAAAACCTCTTGTCTCAAAAAGAAAAGAAAGAAAACAACTAAAGATAGGTGATTTTACTGAAACAGGAAGGTTATAGTGAAAATTTCCAGCTGAGCAGTAAGAGCCCCTATTTTCTTTGCTATTTGGCTTTGTATTTTGCGGCTACCTTAAATCCCTTCAGCAGAATATTGAAATGATCACATTAATCAGAAAGATCTAATGATACTGACAATTGGGATATGCTAGCGAAATCGGCTAGGCCTCTGTCCTGTCATGCAAAAGTAAAGTAGCTGTGTTGACAAGACTCACCCATTTCTTAGTCTTTTGGGGCTGCATAACAAAATAACATAGACTAGCTATGTAAAAAATAACAGAAATTTATTTCTTCTTAGGTTGGTCTAAGATCGGGGTCAGCATGGTTTGGGTCTGGTGAGGACTCTTTTCCAGGTTCAGACTATCAACTTTCTGCCAGTCTACATGGTGGAAAGGCAAACAGACTCCCTCTCTTTTAAGGCACTAATCATATGCCCTGGGTTCCACCCTCATGTACCTAGTCACCTCCCAAAGGCTTATCTCTTAATACCATCATATAGAGATTAGGTTTCAACATAATTTAGTTAAGAAAGACTTATGCGTCAAAATTGAGACCAAAAGAACCAAACAAAAAAAAGAGTCACAGAAATGGGAAGCAGAAGACTTCAAAATTATAATCACTCTCCTGAGAAGATATATCCTCCAAAACAATTGGTGCTATTTAGGCTCAATCAATATCAGAAAAGCTCATAGAAATAATTCTATAAAACTTGAAGATAAGGTAAAGGATTATCAAAAAATTAGAAAATAGGACGAAAGATGGGAAAATTCAAAAATCAGTCCCACGGGAGGACACAGTTTCATGACTAGAGAATTTCACAAAAGAGAGCAGATTAACTGGCTTGAAAAGATTATTAAAAACAAAACAATAAAAAATCTGATGTATTTCTAAGGAGTTGTTTAATAAAAGGATTCTCTCTCGAAAGTACTCTATGAAATGAATGAAAAAAAAGTCCATACAGGGGCCACTATCATTGAATACTAAAAATTAAGAGGAAATTCAATAAATCTCCATATAAAAAATCGGACTACACTGAAAAGATTGGAATCAGATAGCATCAAATTAAACTTCAAACTGGACTAAGTAAGCAGTACTCAGCATTCCCTGGATGAATGATTTTCATTGGTATACGGAACGCAAGTATACTCTATAATGCTTGTGAAAGTAGGCTGATGGAACACATTCAGACAGAAAAGTCTCCAGAATTTGCCTTTCCATCACTCATTTTTTCTTCAGGAAGCTGTTAGAGGATGGTCTTAGCAATTGAGAGAGTAAATGAAGAATGAGGAAATCGTAGGATTCAGGAAAAGGAAAGAAGAGAGCAGATGAATTTCAGGAAACAGTTGCATGGCCTGGAGAGTAATCAGAATAGAATGGAAGGACTCAGAACACTGAAGGAAAATCTCTTAGAAATATAGAACAATTAATACTATTACCTTATGTGTTTGAGGCAATTTTCGAAAAGAAAATATATACAGTTCTGGAAAAGTTTCAGGGAAAGAATAACTCATCGACTTTCTCGGAAAAATGAAAGCAGTTACAAAACCCATCAGGTAGTAATTCAGGAAAGCCATATGTAAAAGAAAAGGAGGAGATCATTTGTTTGAGGACTTAAATGGGATTAATATTTACATAGTCAGCAGTATATCACCCATGGAATATTATTATACACAAAAATAAATTGGTTAATAACTATACTTATTTTGAAAGGAGAAAGTGGGAAATATGGACAGAAACTATAGGAACTACATCTTAATCAAGGAAATACGTAGTCGTAGCCGGTTATTTAGAAATATTAGGCTATAATAGTAAAGGAAACTTCTAAAAGGAAAAATTAAAAATGGTTGTTCGCTAGTGTTATAGTAAAGAAGATAGCACGAGGGTAGGGCAGGATCTGTCTATCTATCACATGCCTTTAAAATTGTTTAACTTTAGGAAATACTTGTGTTTTTCCACCAAAGTTTTCATAGCAGTACTAATAACAAATAATAATATTCGACTGCTGATGACCCCAAAATATTCCAGCTAAACTCTGTAGTCCCTAAAATTGCCTGATCATCCTTCTTCTTTCATCATCTTCTGCTATGTCCATTCTTAATTCCAGACACGCTCTTCTAATTTCTTTTTTTGCCTACCCTTTTCTTTCCATAACCAGTTAAATTCCCACTCCAGACATTCCTTGATTTTCATTCTCATAGGTTGTGACAGTCTTCATTTTTGTTCTGTTTTGTTTTTTAGCAGACAATCTTCTCTATGGATCGCGTCATTTCCGAACAATCTTGGAGCAGAGATACTGATAGCTCTTTTATTCTGGACTATCTGTTTAACGCATATATTGTAATAA